GGATTTTTATCATTATAGGGTGGTTGTGTACACACACTGCCAACACACATTTCAGTTCAAACAACTTGTAAAAGTGCATGTAGCATCCTATGACCCCTTTAAAAATCTTCGTTTGTGTTCTACTGAAGAAACAAAGTCACCTACATCTTGGATGCCCTGGGGGTAAGCAGATAAACATCAAATTTTCATTTTTGGGTGAAATATCCCTTTAATTACAAAAAAATAAAATAATAATTGCCTTGACAAAAGGGCACTTTGGGCATCAAGGTGAAAAGGGGCAGGTGCTCAAGCACCCACCACAACCCCCTCTGCACGTGCCTGGTATTTACTATGCTGCGCGTTCAGGTAACTCAAAAACTTGCGTACATGAGCTGAGACCAGACGTGAGATTTGATCGTAGCCACCGCTCACGTCCATACTGATAAATTCCAAGTTTTGCGTTGAAACGACCGTATGCCAAATTTTCTGTCGTACGTTCGTTTCGTAAATGAGGCCTATTGAGTTTGGTATTTTCTCATTTAAATCTCGAAATAAAAAAAAAGTTTGTACAATGCCAATTTTTCAACTTCTCACTGAGATTGTTATGCAGATGATATAATTTGTAATGAAAATGTTTTTTTTTTATCAATTAGAAAAGTGCAAAATAGAAGCATTTTCACATAAAACTGTACATAAAAATAACCTTACATTTTAAATTATTCTGTGTATATTGTTTGAATTATATATTATATAATTATTATTTTTTTTTACAATATTTGTTGCCTCATTTCTTTCAGGCACTTAAGAGGAAAATCTTGTTGAAAGGAAAGAAGATTGGAAACGAGTCAGAGAGCCCCACAGGTGAAGTCAGCGATGAGGACGAGGCAGCAGAAATGAATAAGGACAGTCCGGCATCAGAGAGTCTGCCAACAGATAGTAAGGTAGGCTACCAGTGGAAATACTGAGAAACTGAGGAAAAGGTCTGTCAGTGTTTTCCACCCCCTTGTTCAACATTGTTCACTTTTGCCCCACGTAGAAATCGAAGCAAAATCTATGCAAGGAGCTCTCAGACCTAATGTTCTGTAAGAGCATACATTTCCACAGCTTTGAGCATTCCCGCATGTCTGCTAAGCCTAATGAGATGTCGTCATTCTCCGAGTCTAAAGCCCGTAAATATTCAAAGGAAGCAGGTAAGAAATTATTTTTAAAGGGATAGTTTGAATATGTTTAACCTCATATTGTTCCAAGCCTGTATGTTTCCTTTCTATATAAAATATTTAAAAAAAATATTGAAATAGAAATTGTACCATTATGCTAGAATAATTACATTTTTGTATTATTAATTCTCATTTTTTTGTCTGTCAGGTTCAGATTTTGTGCTGCATAACACCAGGCAGCTGACAAGAGTGTATCCAAGTGGAATGAGAACGGATTCATCAAATTACTGTCCAGTAGACATATGGAACATGGGATGCCAGATTGGTTAGTATGGTAGATATTATATTACACACCATTATGTCAATTCTATAAAGTGAAAGAATGTGAGCATGGCAGACATAAAAACGCTCTGTGTAAAGAGAAGCAGGGAAACAGCTAATGTGTTGTAAAGTGGCCAGTGTGTATTTACCTATTAATATGTTTCTAATTCATAGTGGCATTAAACTTCCAGACAGCAGGGGTGGAAATGGATCTTAATGATGGGTTGTTTACTCAGAATGGATGCAGTGGCTACATCCTAAAATCTGAGATCCTTCGCAAAAAGGAGAGACTCTTTTATCCTGAAAATCCTGAGGAACGTGAAGATTACCACCCTCTACTGTTCTCTGTTAAGGTATGAAACAATATTCATGTTCCCTCTGCAAGTTTATTTTGAGATTTTATTTGATGATTCTTTCTGTTTTCATCTCTTTTTTTTAGGTTATTAGTGGACAACAGCTCCCTAAAGTAAAGCAAAAAGATTGGTCCATTGTAGACCCCCTGGTAAGGGTGGAAATTTATGGCGTTCCTTTGGATCAAGTCAAACAGGAGACCAAATACATTGACAACAATGGTGAGGAAGTAAGAATTAATTGGTCTGTAGTGTTGCCAAATCATTACATGAGAGACAAATGGAAATTGTGCATGTTGTTCACATGCATACGCATGTAATATGTGGTTGTAAGTTTAATAATGTGGAAACAGACATTACCTGTTAAGATGACAAGTTTCCATAATTTTACAAACCATAGGAATCCTGTTTAAGTCCTGCTGCTTGCAGTGATTTTTCTAATTTTTTAAATCTGGACAGGATTCAACCCACATTGGAATGAAACCTTACAGTTCACAATCCACACCCCTGAGCTGGCACTGGTGCGTTTTGTAGTTGAAGACTATGATAAAGCATCAAGGAATGACTTCATAGGGCAATATACTCTACCTTTTACCTGTATTCAACCAGGTAGTCCTATATTGAAATACAGTTTTTTAAAAAACAGGGTCTTATTCACTAACCAAACAAACACTGCCTGTGTGAATGTTTCCACACAGAAATCCTTATTTATAAATAAGTCTGCACTTTCTTTCTTAATTTTTTTGCTAAATGTAAGATAAAACATAGAACCAATTGAAACATATGCTCTCTCATTTAGAATAATCTGGATTACTCAACATTAGAACGAGGGATAAGAACAATTTTGTGTGAAAATCATTTCGGCTCACATAAGATTAGTATTATTAATATTATTAGTGAATGAGACCCAGCGTCTTTATGTGTATACTCTAAAATCATTGAAAGTTAGTTTGGCTTTCTTGCAAATAACAAAAAGCTTCTTTTTACAGGATATCGTCATGTGCATCTGTTGTCCAAAGACGGAACGAGTATCCATCCATCCTCCATCTATGTTCATATCAAAATCACAGAGCTGTAATTTCACAATTCTAGGAGTTTTATTTGCAATGCTTGAAACGTGTTCTGAAGAGCTAATATTTTTCAGACAAATCTGTAGTTTGCTTTAAAAAGGTAGAGAAAACATTTTATCTTGTGCTTTGCTTAAAAATACTTGATCAAATGCTGGCAATAACTTGAACAAACCAAAATATTATTTTATAACTAGTACTTGCATTAAAACAAAAAAAGTATAGCAACTGGCATTATTTATTATGTGTACCTCTATAGTTGCATGGTGTTAGTAGAGCCTTGCTGTCAGAATAGACCTCCAAGAACGGTGCAGAAAAGCTTTTTCGGTAAAAGCTAATTTTATTTTTAGTTGTTTACCTATGCAATGCTGAGTGTACTGTTAAAAAAAAATCAAATGCATTTTTTTTCTGTTTGAAGGTTATACAGTCAAGGCAGAATGGTTGAATTAAAGGAACTGAGCATGGTATAGTGCCTTTTATAAATAACCCGAAAGCAAGTGTTCAAAGTAAATGACTCTTTTATTTCCATTATGTATGTACATTCCCAGCTAAATATTGTTTTAAAGGAATAAACAGGAATAAATATATCGTAAAAATATTTATTCAGTGTGGTTTGAATGAGGGTTTTGATTATAATGACATGTAATACTTTCATAAGACAAAGAAATGTCAATTGAAATGCATACAGAAACACGGCTAAATATCCCCTGCTGTTTGCATGTGCTCTAAAGCAGTTTGCCCATCCTCTTGTCTCTCTTCCTCTTCCCTAATCCAGGTCTTTTGTGTACTCATAGAGGCCTCTTGGTCTTTACCCACACCATCTTGAACAGGCAAGTCTGGGTGATGTCTCTGAAGGTGCTTTACAACCTGAAATTTCTGTTTTGCCCGGTAGGGACAGTGGAGGCAGTAAAATGGCAGCTTATTTGTGTGGGACAGGTAATGATGGCGGAGACCCGCAGGCCAGCGGAACGCCCTTTGGCATATAGAGCACACATAAGGTCGCTCCTCACTGTGCTTTCTCTGGTGTGTCTTGAGGAGGAAGCGTGTCTTGAAAGCCTTTCCGCACTTCTCGCATATAAAGGAACGCACGTCTCTGTGACGTGTCTCCCGGTGGATGCGCAGGGAGTCGGCACGGTTGGTGCGGTACTCGCAGTCCTCACATGCATAAGGTTTGGCACCTGTTGGAAAGAAGGATAAACATCAAGGTGTGCAAGTAATTTACAATTAGAGTAAGTTAGACTATAGCACATAGCTACCTGTATGTTTTGTCATGTGATACTTCAGCTGGTTGACCCATTTGCATTTGTAGCCACATTCTGGACAGAGATACTTGCGTTCCTCCATGTGAATCCTCATATGATACTAAAATAAAGAGAGTTAAATTAAATTGGAAACACCAACAGAACTGGATAGTAAAAACCAAATACCCAAACCTTTAATCACTATCTTGGATAATAGTTCTTCATACCTTCAGTCTTGAAGGATCAGCACATGCATAATTGCACTTCTCACACCGGTAAGGTTTCTCTCCTGTATGGATTCGAATGTGCCAGGTGATCTTCTGTTTGTTTTTGGTGGAAAACTCGCATTCAGTGCACTTAAAGAGGCAGGTTCCTCCATGTGAGCGCACATGCTGGTCAAACACCACTTTGTGGGTGCAAGAGAAACCACAGACATCACACTTCAGAGTTTTCTCCTCTGCTGGTCCATCTTCATGCTCATCTAACATGTGCTGGACCAGAAGGAGTCTTTTATGGGTACTGAAGGAACAAACCGAGCACTGATGGGTGATGGACATCTTACTTTGTTTTTCTGTACCATTTTGAGGATCTTTCGTCTTGATTTCAGAATGTTCATGCTGCATATGCGCTTTGAGAGCAGCTTGGCAGCCACAGGTGAAGCTACACTGGGTGCAAGACAAGCTGTTAGCATCTGGATGTGCTCGGTTGGAATGCTGCCTCAGGGCAACGTCGGAGCTGAAACGTGCATTGCATTGGCTGCAGTGGTAGCTAAGATCACCAGTGTGGCAGCTCAAGTTGTGGCGGTTGATGTCATTGAGGTTATAAGCTCTGTAGTCACAAAGTGAACAGAAGTGCGTTGCCTGTTTGTCATGAATGCGTTGATGGTGCAAGCGTAGTCTGGACGTGGTGCCGAAAGTTTGGCCACAGAGTTCACAGCTATGCCTCCCAACACCTGTGTGCATGGACTCATGGGCCTCAAGTCGGTAGCGACGGATTGTGCTAAATGAACAGAAGCGGCATTGGTGAGGACGGACTCCCTCGTGCTTCACAGCAACATGCTGTGTCAGGCAACGCTCTTGCATGCAGGTGAAGGAGCAAAGATTGCACTGCAGGTTGCCGGATATTTTACCTCTAATAACCTTCTTCTCTTTCTTGTGACCTAGGATATGATGATTGAGAGATTTTTCCGATTTGGCAACAAATGAACACTGTGGACACTGTATTTCACCTGGTTTTAAACAGCCCTTTATCTGATGACTTGCTAGAGCTCTCTTTTGGTGGCAGAGAAAAGGACAGTTGGGACATGAGAAACGAGGTTTGGGGTCTTGGGGTCTCTCTTCTTCCACTGAATCCCTTTCTGAGTCATTTGCCCCATCTTCCTCCTGATCATGTTCTGAGTCACTAGGATTATCTTCTTGCTCAAACTGCTCTCCCGTTTCAGCCAGATGTACCTTATGGGTGCTTCCACTGCATGTTGCGCAATGCCGATCTATTGTGACTTTCCTAACAGATGAGAAAGGACATTTTCTGCAACTATACCTACCATCATCTTCAATATACCCAGAGATCTCATCATTTACCAATCCCTCCTTTTCTGCTAGCTTGTTTCTACTCCTCACAATTGCCTGCCATCCTTTGGTTGTGCTTGTCAGTGAATCAGTCTCATTTACTTTATCAGCTATGATAGGAGACAGTGGGCCTTCAGGTTCAGCTGAATCTTGTACTCTTGAATCTGTAGAATCAGTGACTTCAACAGGTTCAGGATGCATTGTGAGGGATTTAAGAGTTGTACTCTGTACCTGCATAGATGCAGCACTCCCTGAACTACCTTCACAACTCCCTGATTTACCTTCAGTGCTAGTGAAAACAGACTTCTTTCTGTGCCTCAGCAGTGACCGGCACTTACGGAGGTGGGTGTTCAAAGAACGCTGCTGTTTAAACTGCATGCCGCAGTCCTGGCAGCGTAGTCCTGCCTTCATGACCTGGCAGGACGACTTGCAGTGCCGGATTAATGCTGCCTGCTTTCTGGTCACATAGGAGCAGCGGCTACACTGATACATACTGTCACGTGTCTGGACGACAAGCATCTGCACCCTGCCCTCTAGTACAAGGGCTTCAGCCTGGTCTTTATCCTGTTTTCTCATGACATGCAAGCGAGTCTCAGAAGCTGAGACCTCTACACATTTCTCCTGATGGAGTTCCTCCCTGCTCCTTTCAGTTTCTTCCAATGGTGGCAGGTCTTCAGAGTCACTTTGATCCTCAAAGTAAGCTGCATTGTCATCATCATCATCAACTGATGGTTGTGGGAAGTTCCGGTGGACTGTTTGCAATGTGTGAGATTCAAAATAGCCCCCGAAGTGGGCATCAAATGCGGTGTTGTGTATATTTACTGTCTCTGCAAGTAAGATTTGTGTGCTGCTCTGGCTGGTTTGGGAAGTAAAAAGTGGGGAGCCACACTGTTCTTCATTATTTGGATGTCCTTCAGAAAGATTACTTGCCTCTTCTCTTGCAGACTCAATATCAAGTCTGGCCTGCTGTACTAAAGTAATTTCTTCAGTTCCTCCAATAGTGGCTGCTATTGCTTCATTCTCATGATCATTTACAGACATATCTTTTGAGTCATCTTCTTCCCTATATTCTGAATTTGAAGTCTGAGGTACTGTGGTTTTGGAGAAAAAGTTGTGCGTCAACTCCACAGAGCTTTGCTCTTTTTCTTTCTGTGCATATTTCTCAAGCCACTCCACATCTCCAGGCACATATCCGTGGGATTTCTTTTTATGCAGGAAGAGGCCGGTGTTGCTAAATGTGGTGTAGCAGCAAAGTGCGCAGCGGAACACGCGTGTCCGGGTGTGCCTGCAGTTCTCGTGGCTATGCAGGGCTTGGCGGTACTTTGTGGTGTAAGGGCAAAACTTGCACTGGTAAACAGGAGGTTGAGGATCTGCCTTTGTGGAGTGCTTGAGCTGCATATGGCTGCGCAATTCAGTCTTTCTCTTGCAGGAGTACGCACACACCTCACAGATCAAGGATTTCTCCTGGTGACGGAGTTTATGGCTGTTCAGCTGGTCAATGCGATGGCAACGATATGGACACTGATTACATTTGTACCTGAGAGAGATGTGAGGTGGTAGATCAGTAAACAGAAATGTTTCTTTTTATTATCATATTTTTATTTCAACAAGGTACATACCTTAGATCTCCTGCGTGCTTACGCATGTGGACACTGAGGTAGTGTTTCCATTTCGTAACATATCCACATTCTGAGCACATGTGCTGTTTGTCATTAGAGTGTGTCAGCATGTGCTTTGAAAGGTATGTTTCATCACGACATCTGAAGTCACATAGAGTACATTTGTGGGGCTTTTCACCTGTAAATACAAACGTTATCTGTCTATCAATGGCCAATGAGTAATTTTGAAGGAATAGTTAATTCCAAAATCAAAATTTTGTCATCATTTTCTCACTCATATATCATTTCAAACCCTATATAATATTCTTTCCTGTGTGAAATGCAAACGAAGATGTCCAACCTGCTATTTTCCACAGAATGAAAGCAGATGATATATACTAAAGGACAAAAAACACAATAAAAGTATCAGAAAAGTAATCGAAGTACACTTATTCCTACACGTTTGCTGCAGCTAAACTATACTGTTGTGCAAATGCTATGAAATTTGATATTTACAGCAGAGGGGAAGATACCTAAATTAATTTGGTTCCTCACACAAAGCTATTGTATGACTTCAGAATACTTTGAAAATATCACACAGGTTGTATAAATTAAATCAGTATAAATCAATCAGGATCCAATTTTGATTTTTTTTCATGGAAAAAAAAAGAAATAATACAGGGTTGAAATAACAAGACTGAATAAATGATGACCAAATTTTTTTTTTTTGAGTGAACTATACCTATAAACACTTATAAGAACTAAGTAGAGCAACTGAATATCTTACCAGTATGCATTAGCATGTGTCTTTTCAGAACTCTTTTGTGAGCTGTTACAAAGCTGCACTGCTCACAGTGGTGTGTTTTCTCACTGGCATGAAAGTGACCAACATGTTGATCGAAATCTACAGGGTTGAGGGTTGTGAAAGGGCAGAAGCTACAGTTCAGTTCTTGATTCCCTGGATGTCCTTGCCTTTTGTGCTGCTGAAAAAGGCTCTTGTTTGAGCATGAGAAGTCACAATGGGGGCAGTGATAAGCCTGATGTGTGCGCAAATGTTTCTCCATGTCTTCTAGGCTCCCGA